GGTGAGCAGTAGGTAACTAGATAGTTGACAAATGTGGTTACAATATATTATGGGAATTGGCCCATGTGATAATGAGGCTGTAGAGGCCCCACAATCTGTCATCTGTAAATTAAGAACTAGTAAGCCTAGTTGAATAATTGATTCTGAAGCTTCAGGCCTCAGAACCAGGCAGCTATTTGCATAAGCCCCTGGATGTGAAGGCCTGTGAACTAGAAACATGATGGATGTCCTCCAGGTTAAGGGGGGAAAGTGAGTTTGCTCTCCCTCCACCATTTTGTTCTGTTCCCATTCTCAGGGCATTGGTTCAAGTTCACAGGCCTCACTGGCAGAATGTCTTCACTGGGTCCTATTGATTCAAATACTAATTTTCCCAGAAACATATTCATGGACACTCTCTTTGAAGGACAGCCTCTTAGGGGAGTTTTGCCTATCCCTTAGCTCCGTTAAATTTCAAAGCTGAAGTCTTAAAAGCAGATAGAAGGGGTATGGAGAAATCGAGCAGTGAGACTTAAGAAAAAACACTGTAAAAGGCAAAGTATGGAAAGCATGACAGGTGGTAACTAGTGATAACATCAACTCATGGTAACTTCAAAGAACTCAAAGAAACCAGAAAGCAGATAGAATTGGGAAATCTGAGAAAGGGGACAAGCCTCAGGGTAAGTGTGTTTCTTCTAGAGGGTGCTCTTGTTGCAACACCAAGTCATGTCAACATCTTCAAAGAGGAGCATAGGCAACAGGTGACCAGTGACGGTGTTTGCCAAGGAACCTCACTTTGGGACACTGTAGCCTGTTTGGAGAGCTGGTTTTTAAATTTACCTTTTTTTGGAGAATGTCACATATGAGTACTATATTTATATCAGTTCTACCCCCTCCAGCTCTCTGCTCTAACTTCTCCTGTGTCCCCATGACCTCTTTTTCTACAGTTATAACTGGTACACACAGATACAGACATTGACTAAAAAAGAAAACCTACTGAGCCCACTTAGTGTTGCTTGTATGTTTAGGGCCAACCACTTGGGACTGGATACCGTAGTAGGCACCTGTCCCTGGAGAAGACTGATTCTCCCTCAGCAGCCAGCAGTCGTCGATTGCCTGTGTAGCTCTTCATCTATGGGTAGACCTTGTGACATTCCCCCTCTCTGAGTTAATATGTTGGCTGATGTAGACATTATGTAGGTCTCGTTTAGGCAACCCTACTGTTGAGATTTCATGGGTGCACTTTCCCTGGTATGTCTAGAAGATACAGGAGTCCTTGACAACCAAGAAAGAATTGTAGCAAGTAGGAATGGAAGCCCCAGCCCCAGTGGCAGCAGGAGTGTGGGCCCTACAGGGCATTCTTCCCCACTCACACACACTGCAGAGGAGCCGCTATACAGGAAGACCAGCAAAGGAGCAGATGGCACTGACCCAAGCCTACAGTGCCTGAAAACCTGAATGTCCTCTATCGAATCAAGTTCTGAAGATGCCAACTCAATACCTTTAGAAAGAGTTTGAAAAACACTGTGTCCACACATGAAACAACAAAAAGAAGACCTGAAAAGTGAGGAAGAGGGGGGGGGAGAAAAAATTATCAGTGGGAATTAAAGGCATGTCTTGTCGGGTCCAAAAGAAACTGGAGACACATGGCTAACTGTGGTGCCTGTTAACATACTACAGTGCATGCTGGCCACCAGCTTCTCTCAGCATCACGCTTCCTAATAGTGCTACAGACTAAAAACCATGCCTTCAGCACATGAACTTTGGAGGGGCATTCAAGACCACACTGTTCAAGAACAGCAGTTCATCCACACAGCAAACTGGAGAAGTGGCAGTTTTTGTGTGCATTATAGCTGGCTGACAGGCACCTGGAGCTAACCGCCGCCTCCTAGTGTCTCAAAAGAGTCAAATGAGGCCCAAGATACACTTGTAACTTCTTAAGCTTCCCAGTTGTAAAGGGAGAAGTTGAGTGATGTTGTCCAACAGGTCCACAATGGCTTTGAATAAACACAGGGAAAGAGATAAGATAACCTTAGACAATGACAGAAAAAAAAAAAAAAGTTCTTTTGTCTTGAAGAAAACTACGTCTTTTGATTGAACTGGCCCTCTATATACTAAAAAGGGTAGATTTTAAAAGCTACCCTCATCTAATTTCTTCCTCATTGTTTTAGTTTGGTTTTTGTTACTATGGTAAAACACTGAAACAAAAGCAACTTGTAGGAAGAAAACTTTTATTTTAGCTTGCAGGAGCTGAAAACGAAGAGGAACCCAAGTTACTGGCTTGCTCAGCCACCCTCCTAATACAACCCAGGCTTCCTTGCCTAGGGGTTACACCACCCATGGTGGGCCGCTCCCCCCACATAGGTTAACAATGAAGAAAATCCCTCACAGATTTGCCTATAGGCTAATCTGATGGGGGCAATCTCTTAGATGAGGTTCCCTCCTCCCTGGTGTGTCCTAAGGCACTGGTGAAACTTAAGATCAGTGTAAGCAGAAAAAGCTTTCCATCATTCAGAAAATAATGTTAGCTACAACGAAATGAGAAATAAACCGATTAATAAAGGGCTGAGGTGGAGGGAGAAATGTCTTCAACACCCAGAGGGAAAAGAGTCCGAATCCGGAATTCACACAACGAAGTGTGAAAGCAAAACAAAGTCGTTCTTTCAGCATGGGAACGACTCAGAAGGTCTGATTATGAATAAACGAGCACAGTGAGAAAGGCATCTCCAGGTGATATTTCAGCACAATGCAACACGGATTGATGAAGCAAGAAGCTAAGTTCGAAGGAAGAATCTTGCTTTCAGGATTCTGGTAATGTCGGGTCATGTAGTCAAATACACCACTTGGTTTTCTCAGGTGTGCCTTTTACATGGTGGGAATGCTGTAAATAGAGACGATTGGCCCTGTGTGGAAGCAACCAGTAGATAAACTGGGACGAAATGAGTCTCAACATCATAAACCTATTTCTTTAACTGACACAAGTAAGAGTGTGGATAGAAGAAAGTATGCCACTATCTTCTCACAGCCACCTATGCATAGTTGACTTAAGGTCAGAACGGCAGCTTTGAGGACCAGAGAGCAGAAATGGCTGGGCAGCTCCTGTCTAGAGGTGAGACTGGGCAGGTGTGATGGGCAAGGGAACTACCTTGCTCTGTTCCTAGTTTTTTTTTTTTTTTTTTTTTTTTTTGGTGTTTTTTTCTTTTTCTTTTTAAGCATCTGCATTTCTTCCTTCTGCACCCCATACATGTCTTCTCTTGACTTTTTATTTTATGCACTTACTCTGTCTTGTATTAACAAAGGTTTCATTTTCATCTGTCTGACAAAATTCTGGGAGCTGCTGTTTTTCCATAATTCTGAAGCTGCTCTTTGTCAAGTTTTTCTTCCTATTCTTTCTCTGCTCTTGTGATTCTGTCATGTGAGGACAACTGGTAGACCCTGGGGCCAACCTCTTAACTCTCCCTTCACAGTTTTGTTTCTTTATCCCTTTGTGCTATAATTTGAGTGATTTCTACAGCTCTCTCTCCCACTTTCCTAACTCTTCCTTTAGCTGGCTTTTCCTGTTTCAATGGCTGCATTTTTTTTTTTTAATTTTTATTTTAGAATTTCTTTCGCATAAACCAAACTGCCCCTGTTTTACAACCTACTTAAAATAAATGGTATTTTCTCATTTGGACTTTTTATTGCCTATTTTAGCAGGGCAGTGGTGACCCATGGCTTTAATCCCATCACTTGGGAGGCAGAGACAGGCAGATATGAGTTTGAGGCCAACCTGGTCTACAAAGAGTTCCAGGATAGGCTCCAAAGCTACAGAAAGAAATCCTGTCTCGGGGGGGGGGGGGGTGCTATTCTATATTGCAATGTGACTTGGGAATCTTGTCCTTTCTTGTGCCTTACTGACATTCATATTAGTGAGTTTCCACATGTGTTTTGAACTTTATAATTTGGGGTTCTAAGCTTATATCCACAGATATGTTTCTGGGATTGGTGGGGATATTCTCATATGTGGGTTTCATGTTTCCAAGGATTTACGGCTTTTTGAGTTCTGGAGCAATTTCCATGGTTGTATCTCTGTTCAGTGTGTGCTCAGCAGGTGGTTAACTTCGTCTCAGAATTACTTCCTTCCAGTACAGTCGTATTTCTGTTAATATAAGGGCTTCACAGCAACCGAATGCATTTAGCTGTAAGCTTTTCAGAAAATTTCTATCAATGACATAGGATGATTTATGGTATTTTTAGATAAGGCAAACCCAGCCAGTCCCCCTCATCACTTTTCATTGAAGAGAACAAAGTCCAAACAAAGCTGTGTTTAGACCCGGTGACTTAAAGACAGAGCACAATGTAACAGGTGAATCTCTTTGTGGTTGATACACATTTGAATTTGATGTAGATGATGTCTGATGCCAATTGGAAGGTAAACCCGTGTGTTTATTTTGTTAGTAGTTTTGACTGTGGCTTGCATTCCAGATGCCTAGAATGTGGCTTTCTAACCTTGGATCTGCCCATTGTTGCATATTATCAACCACTTTGGTGACTTGAACTCCTTCATGCTCAGTTAAATTAAGGCATCAATGTTCTTTCTAGTTACAGTTCATAGAGATACTTGGCAGATTTTCCTTTGTCAATAATTTACTTTTGTTCTCACCCCTCTATTTAAAAAAAAAAAAAAAAAAAAGCATGCAATCTGCTTAAAAGAACTCAATCTTCGCTATGACTGCCTGCCACATCTTGAGATTTTTATTTATTTTTTTACTTACTCCCATGGTGAGTTGCAAAATATCTGCCATGCTTTTTTTCTTTTTCTTCCCTCCCTCCCTCCTTTCTTTCATTCTTTGTTTCTTTTTTCTTTTTTGTGTATTAGGTGAGGGAAACTTTCAGGGCATTTTTTTTTTTTTTTTTTTTTGTGAGATTTCCAAGAACTTCATCCCTTTTCTCATTTTACAGCAGGCATCCATACAGTAGGGGATTCAGATTCATGATCCAATTCAAAGCAAATGATACGGGTGTGTTTTGTGCTCTGTTTTCAGAACAGTGTGTTCTAAACGTCAACACGAAGGGCAAGAGCCTTAGGCTGAAGGGGCTGTGGATTATTTACTCTGAAGAAGCTCCTGTGTGGACAGGAAAGCGCTGACAGGTCAAATGGACCCCGTGGAACTGAGAAATGTCAATATCGAGCCTGAGGACGAGAGCAGCAGTGGAGAAAGTATTTCAGACAGCTACCTGAGGGTGGGAAACTCTGAAAAAGCCGCCATGAGCAGGTACGGGATGAAAAGTCGCCAAGCTCTGTGGAAAAACAAGGTGGGCCACGGGCTTGGAAAACCTGGATCTTGGTGCAGTGATTGGATTTATTGTGGATCAATGTGAGATAACAGTGTTAACACATCAATTCTCTGGTCCTTTGTGTGACTGATTGGAAATTGAAGTTGCAGTGTCCTTGTCTCCATTGCTAATGTAACCCGTGTTTCACTGACATTAGCCTGTTGTTCCATTTATCTTTCAGGGGACCCACCCAGATTCTTCTTTCTTTGACTATACTTTCAATGTTGTATCTCCAGAGGGTTTTTTTTTTTTTTTTTTTTTTTTTTTTCATTTGTTTGTTTGTTTGGTAGGCTTTCTTTCTTAAGTTTTAGGTTTTGCTTTTTTCTCTCCATAAGTAATATTATTCATGAATTATCATGGGGTCATCCATTAACTACATGGCATATTCTCAGCCTGTTAAACCTTGTATGGGGAGTTTCAGGTCATTCTGTTCTCCCATCGACTGCACTAACTGATACAACTCAGCCACCTCATTTCTGATAAGGACATTAGCTCCTTCCCACTGTAGGGGAAGGGCAGTCAGGAGGGAGGGGCAGTCTCTTCCTATAGATGGTCTGGTGCAGGGAGTTTTAGGATTGTTGGACTAAATTGGGGCCTTTTCTAAACTCAGTAGCTCCTGAATGCAGTGAAACACAGGACACCCGTGTCTGCAGAGTCGTTGCTTGGCTTAGGGGGATTTAACTTCGTTTGAGCTTCCGTGCAAAGTGTAGACTAGCAAACTAGCACCTGCTTTTCTGAGGAATAGGTAACTGTTTGGGATATAAGGTAATACTCAGCAACTCTGTGCTCCTTTCCTTCTCCAGCACTGCTCTTAGTATGCTGGCCCGAGTCTGAGGCTCTTAGAGTGTGAAGGAACACACAGGCTTGAGTGCTGGGGCAGTGGGTGAGCTGATGGGGATTCAGTCTCAAGAACGGCCCTCAAGTCCACAGTGGAGCCGCTGTTCAGCTTCACAACATCGTCTTAGCTACTCACATTGACATACTTTCTAAATGAGAACTCATGTCTAAGATGTCAGTTTTGTGATTTTACATTCACTTTAAATGGATGGATTTTGTTTGTATTTGGTTTAGAATGCATCTGTAGTTGAACTTTTTTTTTTTTAATCATATACTGTAGGCTTTGCTTGAGGTCATTTTCCTTGTTTTCAATACATGTTGCCTCTGACATTCAAATATGTAACATGCTGAGGACATTTCTTACATATTTTGTACAAGCTCAGTATGTTTCATGTCTACATCTCATCTCATGCCAATAAGAACATTGTAAATGCCTCAGAAATAAGTAATATGCTTACTTTCAAATTCTAAGTTTTAAAAACCACTCATGCAATGGAGATTTGAAATTGCTGAGTAAAATAAGAGCATTGGACACACTTTAGTTTAGATTGTACTGGAAGAAACACTTGTTTTTATAGTCCTTTGTCCCATTTTATCCTATCATCCCAGGTTCTAACTGTGAGCATTATGTAACAGCTCCTCTATAGCTAGTTTACAAAACACAGGCTGTTAAAGCACTTAAAGATGGTACACCGGAGAGAGCAGCAGCAGGGCACCATGTTTCATGTGAGAAAAATGGGGCAAAACTAGGGACTGTACACTCAGAACTATTATTGTGTGGTTCCAAGAAACATACTGAAAGCTTTGTGGGTGTTGTGTTCTAGCTGTACCTTGTATTGGACACTGTGTGAGTGTATCTGTTGTGTTCTAGCTGCACCTTCATATTGACACTACATGGGTATATCTGTTGTGTTCTAGCTGTACCTTGTATTGACACTGTGTGTGTGTGTTTTGTTCTAGCTGTACCTTGTATTGACACTGTGTGAGTGTGTCTGTTGTGTTCTAGCTGTACCTTGTATTGATACCAGATGTACCTTATATCGACACTATGTGAGTGTGTCTATTGTGTTCTAGGTGTACCTTGTATTGACACTGTGTGAGTATGTCTGTTGTGTTCTAGGTGTCCTGTGCATTGTACTCCAGTATCCAAGTCACCTTGCAGTACCTCTGTCCTGTCAGAGCATTTTCAGGATTAGCACCTATTTAAAAGGCAGTTTGAAAGGATTTCCTGAAGCAATTCATTTTTCAATTTTATATCTAAGGGCTATCTTTCTAACCATTCTCCAACTGTTTGGTTTTACTCTAGAATTTAAAAAAAAAAATGCCTTAAACAAGCTAGTAAGTCCTTTCCAGAAACAGGCAGAATTGAGCATGTACTGGAGCAGCCAAGACTTGTGTTATATTTTTATATATAAAACTATAATGGTGGCAGCTGGCCTTGGTGGTCAGGCCTCTCGGAAGTGAGGCTGGCCCCATGGCCATAGCATCCACACTCCTGGTATGTGACTGCTGGAGCTGAGCAGCACGGGAAGGGAATGGCATCAGCGAACTTGTGCAGCCTCCAGACTGCATCCAGGCAGATCATAATCACAGTGAGCCTTGTGGCTCATGCATTAGTTAGTGACTTTTTCAAGATAAGGTTTCTCTGTGTGTAGCTCTGGCTATCCTGGAACTCGATCTGTAGACCAGGGTCACCCAGAACTCACAGAGATCCACCTGCCTCTGCCTCCTGTGTGCTGGGACTAAAGGCATGCACCATCACTGCCCCATCACTGCCCCATGGTTCATGCCTCTTCAAAGTCTACTTTCTCAACTGTTCTGCCAGTTCATTGGGTTTCATTAATAACTTTCTCAGTTTTATCTATTATCTATGAATAACCAACATACATTTTCAGAGTAAAGGCATGAGTGCGTGTGCACACATACATGCGTACACACACACACACACACACACACACACACAAACACACACACACACACACACACACACACACACACACACGGAACCAAATACACCCCTCCCCCCACAACCAGATGTAACCCAGAGTTACTGTGTAACTGTTTTCCAAGAAGCAATATAGGCATAAGAAGATGCACCTGCAAAGGAGGAAATAGCTATGGAGTCCTGCTGGGACTTGCATGACGCTAGGAAGGGCAAGGTGGCAGATGGACATTCTTCTTCTCTTTCTTGACTACAGTTGCCTTGCCTTTGAGTAGGACCAAGGAAACTTCTCCCCCCAGGGATATTTGGAGCATCAAATGAGAGGATTTTCTTCAGAGTATGTTTGTTACATCTATAGAATTAGAGCAGCATGTGGCTCTGTAGAGTCCTGACTTTGCAGAGGGTTCATTTTTAGCGCCATAAAAAAAAATCAACAAACAATAATAAAAGCATCATCTCATCATGGCATCAAAACAGTTTTTAAAAACAAAGCTGTGACTCTGCACCCTCCTTGAAAGGGTTCACAAGGGGAGCAAAACTAAGTTCAGTTAGGCTCTTTCTTGCACAGTGTGGGGAGAAAGAGAAAGCATATACAGTATTTCCTTCCTTATAACATCCCACAACTGTTCAGTGGTTGGTCTAGCAGGAACACTAGTGTGAAGAAGAGAAAACAGACATTTGGACATTGTCTTCCCTGGTACAGTTCATTAGATTGCCCTGCACTCAAATGCAAGTCAGAACATTTACTGATGTTTTCCTGGGTTTTTGTTTTGTTGTTTTTTTTTTGGGGGGGATTGTTGTTTGTTTTTGGTTTTGTTTTTTTCTTTTTTGACTTTCCTGTCTTCTTCAGTCAATTTGCTAATGAAGATGCCGAAAGTCAGAGGTTCCTAACGAATGGATTTCTGGGGAAGAAAAAGTTGGCCGATTACGGGGATGAACACGTAAGTGGCACTCTGCTTTCAGGAGGTAAACATGCAGAAAGAGTCTGATCTACCGCTGTCTCAGTGGGAAAACAGTGTGATTGAAATTTTCCAGGCCTTCATCAGCACATTCTCTGTTTATTCAGCCCTTACTGGAATAAAGGCTTGTTTTTCCCGTTTGCCATATGGCCACATGAATCATTTATGCAATTTACTTGTTTTTTCAAGAAATCAATTCTCACCCAAATGTAACCTACAGCCATACATTATTTTCCCTCCTTCTTATTGCTCCTCTGTATTTTTAATTTTTCCTGTGACCTATGCTAAAGCTAAGACTTGCATTCTATTCAAAATGAAATGTTCTTTTTGATGCTCTGAGTAATTAATGGCTTTTACTCACTGTGGTTTTCTCTTCCTCTTCCATTTGGGGATGAGTGTTTTCCAGGAGATATAATATGAGATGACTAGCAAAGGCAGGACTAGTCCCTTAGCAAATGTTTGTTCATACTGAACTTCTTTTCTTCAAGCACCCTGGAACGACTTCCTTTGGAATGTCCTCCTTCAACCTGAGTAACGCCATCATGGGCAGTGGGATCTTGGGCTTGTCCTATGCCATGGCCAACACAGGGATCATCCTTTTTATGTGAGTGAACATATATGTCTGTATTTAGTGCCACGCTTGCATATAACCTGACAACCTGATGCAAGTTCTTTGTGAATGAGAGTAATCTGAGAAAGTATTAGTAAAACACTCTTGCTTTTATGTAGACCTGCCACTCAAGGGATATAGCCAGTGCTGTCTAATCATGGTGTTTCCTCATTTGACCGTCTTTAATCGAGTGGTAGAATGTTTATATATTCATCAACAAATATGTTCTGGCAGTCCACAGGAAGAAGAAACCATTTCGCAAAGTAGCTCATCACTTGATGCTCAAAATGATACTGTGTTCAGTAATCAGAACTATTCCTCCCCAAAGCAGATCAAATTCTTGAATAATCTTAGGAAAACAAACTAGTCTAAGAGCCCACATGCCCCAATCCTACTCCCTGTGCCTCTGGACACCAGACACAATGCACTGGCCTTCCTTTGCACTGGCCCCAGAGCCCTCTTTTCCTCTCTTCATTTAGTTCATGTCCCATCTCTCTGTTCAGCCTAGCTTTAGAGCTGCCTTCTGTGACCTCTGTGACAGGAACCAGTGTTATACTGTGTCTCCATTGTAACACCCTTGTGTGCTTGTCTGAGTTCCTTAGTGTCCAGCTCCCTTGCCAGACTACAAGACCAAGAGAACTGGCCACATGTCTCACCACAGAGCCTTTCCTAAATCCTCACACAGTGCCTAGTATGGAGGATATTTGTGGATGACTGAAGCGTATTTCCAAACCTCTGTGCTTTCCCCACACTGGTCCAAGGCTGCCTGAAAGCAGCAGTGTTCTACGGCTGACCTATAGCTGGATAGGGGCCTTGCCTGTGATGGACAACCACAGGCGTCTGCATGGTTGCACACAGTTTGGTATTTTCCAGGACACGCTTCTCAGTATCTTCAGAAGCATAAAGCTGCACATTAGGTGTCATATGAAAGTGGAGCCTTGAGAGCTAACTGTCTAAGAATGCAGCACATACACTTTCAATGTGTGCTATTTGTGTTCTGCCATTGCATACGATTAGCTAATCACACAGCTATGTAAGGACTGAACATCAGAACTATAAATATTTACCTTGTGCCAAAGGAACTATTTCATGTATAATAGGCTTTAGCTGAATGGGTTTTTATACCAACTTCAACATACTATTTGAAATCAATTAGCTGTTTCCCACCTGAATAATTGGCTCATAATATATTTGCATATCTATGTTTTTGTAGTGAACACAACCTTTGAACCAAAAAGAATGCCTTCTCATTAATTATTTATGCTATAGAAATAATTAAGAAGTTATCACAGATCATTGATGAGCAGAAACAGGAAACATTTTTCCTCAACCATGAAGCCATAGACCGCCTTCTAGAGAACACTGTGGTCCACATTTAAAACAAAGGTTTTGTTTCAGTTAGCTGGTTAACTTGGTCAGAGCCATCACATCTCAACACCATGGATGTGCTTTGTGCATCTCAGAAACATTCGGCTGTTCCTCCTTAGTTTGCAGCAAGTAGTATAGTATTCCACTGATTTCACTTTTAGAATGTCTCATAGCAAGCACGTGTTTAAGCTATAGTCATGCTCGTTATTCTCCCATGGAACAAAACTACAGAAACTGAACTACATAATTCTTTGAAAACAGGTATATTCATACTACATGGGTGAGTAAGCCACTGATTAGATGGTCCAAGAAGACTTGTTTCTGGACACATATGACTAGAGTAGCTAGCTATAAGTGTGTAACCTGTGGTCTGAATGTACACATCCAACAGTGATCTCGCTGGAATTACCAGATAAACTGTGGGAAGAGTATGTTCTCAAGTAAATAAAGGGAAAGGTTGCTCTTTGAAATTTCAGACATTAGTACTGTCCACTTATTACCTGGATGATGCTAATCACAATTTTTTGTTGTTGTTGTTTGTTTGAGACAAGGTGTCATTATGTAGCTCAGGATGACCTTGTGCTAATAATCCTCCTGCCTCAGCTTTCCAAGTGTTGGGATTACAGGTGTGTGCCATCATGCCTGGCTCTATCCATGTTCTTCTTTTTATTGTAGAGACATGTTGATTGGTGTTAACACCTAGAAGCCATTCAAATATGCAGTTGTGTAGCCCATCCTGATATCAATGGATTCACTTTGAATAAACGCAGGGAATTGTTCTGCCGGCTGCACTCACCGTCCTCTGCTTTCTTTATTGCACATGACCCTCCAGTTAGCAAAGCACTATCTCTTCTTACTCAGTCAAAAAAATTGGAGTGTGTAAGCTCAGGTTTAGTCATGTTCTCAAACAGCCTTCCACTGCTGCCTGTTGATGCAAATACACCATGCACACACCTGGATGCTGGGCGAGTGGATGGGATGTGTTAGTTTCATGCCCATTAGCATCTCACCTGTGAGATATATTACATCATGATGTAAGAAGCTTCATGTAGTGGCTGAAGCATGTACAGTACAGAAAGTCCTAGTTGGGTGGCATTTAAGAATTTCCTGGAACCCTCCAAATCCATCTACTTTGCAAAGTTGATGGTTGAAAAGGCAAAAGTATTACTGTAATTTATTGCAATGTTTAGCATAACAGTGTCTCACCTTTGATAAAACTTGTCTACTTTCTGTTCCCTTACAGAATCATGTTGCTTACTGTGGCAATATTATCACTTTATTCGGTTCACCTTCTCTTAAAGACAGCCAAGGAAGGAGGTATGTTCTCTTTAAGCCCACATCTTCAGCCAAAGGGCTATCTTCCTTGATTCTCATGAGAGAACCTCTCAATTACACAGCATTATAAGCTAAGGAGGATGTTAGTCTCGTTCTTTTTCCCCCTGACCCCTGCAATATGTTCTCTCAAGGTTATTAGTTAAGTGGGCAAGTGAGAATAAAGAATGAAAGCCGATTGGCCCAAGTTCAAGCCAAATAGGGGAAAGAAAAGACTTTTGGCAAATGGTAGGTATAGCTGCTGCTACTAATGACACACAGTTTAAGCAAGTGGAGCCATTGCTTCTGTTTGGAGAACATCGACATTGCTCATTGGTTTCTGAGGTCCGGTCCTTTGGCTTTATCGTTTCTGTCTACTACTCAGGTATATGCTGAATATTCCAGTGTAGAGTTATGTAAAGAAATGGTAGTGGCATGAGAATGATCCTCTAACACAGCAATTCTCTTTCCTTATAGGGTCTTTAATTTATGAAAAATTAGGGGAAAAGGCATTTGGATGGCCCGGGAAAATTGGAGCCTTTATCTCTATTACAATGCAGAATATTGGAGGTAAGGGGGGAGCTTGCAATAGACCACTTGAACTTTCTGTATGATGGTCAATAAAATGAACAACAGAACTTCTGGCAACAAACAAACAACGGCATAAATCTCACCAAACCCTCTGCAGCAGCACTGAACCCACGGGGGTCTTGAATATGCATAAGTTCTAACACTGAGCCACACCCACAGCTCCCAGTGTGTGTTTATTTGGCTTTATGTTGTTAAAAATCTTGTGTAGCCATCTCTAGAATCGCTAGGGTTGTCTTTGTTTTGTTGTTGTTTGCTTTTGTTTTGTTTTGTTTTGCTTTTCTTGGCTTGAAGCCATAAATATCTAAGATCATTAAAGAATCTGTTTTACATTTAGTTAAATTCTCCAGCTTTATGGAGATTTAAATCATCGAGCATTTCACAAGATCACCTCATGCTTGCTCCAGCTTGGGACAACTGAAATAAGGAGCCCTGAATGTGTTTAGCCCTTAACTCCACAAGCTGAGCCACCATTACACTTCCAGGTGTGGATCAAAGCAGGCTCCATGGCAAGCCAAACACAAGCAGCATGGCTGTAAGACAGAGATAGCTGCCTATCCCCACCCCAGAAAATGCACCCACTTTGGCTATTTTGTGTGATTAGTGATTTGGCATAAGGGAAGCCACTTGCGCATCTTAAATTAGCAGCTCCACATTTAGAACACTTTAATTTTTCTGCCCCCTAAAAACTTGGCGTTTGCCACTGATGTTTTAACATTAGCAGGATGATGTTGACATTACCTGAACAGGCCTGTAGCGCCCTGAATTTTCAAAGGCCAAACACATTAACAGCGGTGACATCACCGAGAATCAGCAGTTAAGAGCTCTAAAATCGAACGGTCCCTCGGTGAGCCAGCTCATCAGAAACACCTCCTGTTTACGAACTGTAAGGTTCGGCTGTGGCCAAGAGCACTGTAAAGATTAACCAAGCCATGTGGACAGGAGACAGACACAGCAGCTATCGGAGAAACCATCTCACTTTGACAGTTGGAAAGAGATGGTGATCCAGAGTGAGGGGGTCTTGTGCTTTTCACATAGTCTACCCTTTGCAAGAGTGTGATCTTGGATGTGTCATTGAGTTCCTGATGTCCTGAACTGCAGGATAGGGTATGATGTACACCTGTCTCTCCAAGATTTTTCAGATGACCAAATGATGGAGCTCTGTAAGTGTCAGAAATAATTGGTACCATTCTCACCTTGGAAGCTCAGGGACTAATTTGAAACTGGTCAGAATTCAGTGTACAACTTAGATGCCTGTCCATACAACCACACCAGAAGGGTGTCTCTCACACTTAACACTGTATAAAAGGCCTTTCCCTGTTGTTGTAGTGTGGGAACTAGAAACCAGATCCCTGAGCATGCTAGGCAATCATTATACCCCCTGAACTACAACCTGTGGGTCAAATAACAAATTAGAATCAACTTGTACCAAATGGTGGACTTGGGAATGGAATGCTGCACAAATCCCTCTGATTAGAGTCAAAACTGCCAGATTTAATGTAATTATACAGGAATGTATACAGGGAGAGGTTTTATAGTTTTGTTTTGTTTTGTTTTTTGTTGTTGTTGTTTGTTTTTTTGAGACAGGGTTTCTCTATAGCTTTGGAGCCTGTCCTGGCACTCACCCTGTAGACCAGGCTGGCCTCAAACTCATTAGATCTGCCTGTTTCTGCCTCTGAGTGCTGGGATTAAAGGTGTGCACCACCACTGCCTGGTTTTATAATTTTTATGATGTTTTCAAAATAGTGTAGGTGAAATTTGATCCTTTCTGTAATTTTTCTTGACCAATGGGAAAGTGGAATAAGAGGGAAAAAAACCCAAATCCTTAACAGACAAAACGGGGGAGAAGCTGTTGCCTCTTTGTTATCAGCCTAGAAGACTTGCAGTGGTCATGGGTCTGACATTTTCTATGTGGCTCTGGGAGACTGTAGAGGACCCAAGAGATATCACTTGGGGAAAGCCAGAGTGACTGGAGTGCCCAGAGACCTGCCTTACAATTCTGCAACCTTGGTTTTGGCCTCTGCCACCTTTTGTCAGGCCACCACCTGTAGGCACAGGCAACATGGGCCTTGACAATCTCTAAAATGGGGAACCCAAAGTTCCCCTAGAAGCTCAAGTTAGATTTAACCAAGAAAATCAACAGGAACACTGTTAGCAGCAGCCCTTGTGAATGAGCTGGAAGGACAGGCATGTGCTTTTGAAGAGAACCTGATGGCCTTATAGAGTGTGTGGGGCCTTCACAGCCTGTTTTAGGGGTGAGATGCTCATCTTTCCCAGAAGAATGGATGTCCTGAGTGTCCTGACTTCTTACAGTTTGTGTGGGATGACAGTGAATGTGCACCACCACTAAGCTGCCCCTTTGTCCTTTTCAGCAATGTCAAGCTACCTCTTCATCATTAAATATGAGCTACCTGAAGTAATCAGAGCATTCATGGGACTCGAAGAAAACACTGGGTATGTCTTAGGTTCTCTCCATGATACCAACTGGCTCGTTCTGTTACCTTTGCTGTTCCCAACATCCTCTCTCTTTCTCTTCTAGGGAGTGGTACCTCAATGGCAACTACCTCGTGATATTTGTGTCTGTAGGAGTTATCCTTCCACTCTCTCTCCTTAAAAATTTAGGTATTAATTCACTAACTAAAAGTATGTGTATCTTTACTTCATATTCTAATAGGCAAGCTTTGTTAGACACTCTAGTCACCTTCCAAAATATTTCTGCTAATTCCTAGGTTACCTTGGCTATACCAGTGGATTTTCCCTGACGTGCATGGTGTTTTTTGTCAGTGTGGTAAGTGCTTTGTTGACATGACCCTTGCAGCTTGGCAAGCATGCCATGTTTCATTAGTGTCCTCATTTTTGTCCAAGCACTTCACTAGCATGAAATAGTTCTTGCTTCACAAGCAATTTTATTGTATTCTAATTTGGAATGAGAAAGGGACAGTCATGGGTTTAAAAATAGTTGAATTAGAATGCCAAGGTCCTAGCACATGGTATGATCCAGGCTCTCTGGGTGAACATTTAGACAAGAGTACCATGGAAGTGGCCCAGTGTTTAAGAAGGTAGAAATAGCAGACCTACATAGGCTGGGGCCATGTCTGCATGTGTCAGCCATTCTCTTCCACTTTCTACCCATTAAGAGGCATTGACCATAGCAGAATTAAAGAAGAAATCAGTTCAAACAAAGAAGAATTTTTTTTGAAATGTCATAGATGTGAAATCTTATGTAAAACTTTCCCCCCAAAGAGGTAAAGGAAGAAGAAAGAATTTTTGATGACTTATGTCATGAATATTTTGATGTAATGAAGAAATTATCTTTGTCATAGAAGAGCCAGAAAGGCCTGGAGTGTCTCACCAAAGCCTGGTACTTTTGACTACAAAATAGCATTGCCAATCAGTTCCAGCTCTTTCTTTAAAACGGAGGCTAGGAGTCCCCACAGCCCAGTAGTCTAAGGACATCTCCACTGAGTTCTCTTCACCTGCACCCCAGAGCCACATGGATGGATTTTTATTTCACTGTTTCCCCCCTCAAAATTTGACTTCTCTTGTTTTTGTTGTTTCAATTTTTAATGACTGGCTGTAGGTGATTTACAAAAAATTTCAAATACCCTGCCCACTGCCTGTGCTGGATCACAGTGTTGGAAACGTGACGTTCAACAGCACACTTCCAATGCACGTGATTATGTTGCCCAATAACTCAGAGAGCATGGGTGTGAACTTCATGATGGACTATACTCACCGAAACCCTGCAGGGCAGGATGAGAACCAGGCCACAGGCCCTCTTCACAGCAGTGGAGTGGAGTACGAAGTCCACACTGGTGACAAGTGTCAACCCAAATACTTTGTATTCAATTCCCGGGTAAGTGACAGATCCACACCCCTAACAGGCTGAGCACTATGGTCTCTGAGTTTTATTTCATACACTGAGATGCTCTGGAGTCACCATCTATGCTGGACCTCTAAACATACGGTGTTTGTTTTACAGACCGCCTATGCGATCCCAATCCTAGCATTTGCTTTTGTCTGCCATCCTGAGGTCCTTCCCATCTACAGTGAACTTAAAGAGTAAGGCAGCCATCATTTTAGCATTCTCATTTGATTTGCAAATATGCTCATCTATTCAAAGATGCCTTATGGGGAGGCATTTCCTATGGTTTTCTGAGCAGAGATGGTTTGTGCTACAATTCACTTGTGATGTGTTTTAAGCAAGGTTTGAGTGAACCCACATGTCCTCTCCTGTCCTGCCATAATGGTTCTGGGAAGGATTTCCCATAGGCAGAGGAGGAGCTAGTGAGTGTATTGATTTTTGGCAGGTGTATGGATTTGAATGTGAATTTTGTTGAAACTGAAAATCACAATACTCATGATAACCAAAACTTAAAGTTTAGGGCAGCCTTGCTAAGCAACTGATGCTACTAGTGGTTAGTTCCTTGCCTTAAAGGTGTTCACTGGAACAGATGGCCTTGTGTGTGCAATGGGGACACTGGCTAGTTCCAACCAGTGCAGGGATCTGTGATTCATTAGTAATCATCTCCTTTGAGGTTGTTTGGCATCTCATTTGGTCTGAACCCATTCTAACAGCTGCTGTGTTGGACAATGATTCTTAACTTTTTAAACCTGAACAGTGGTGATACCTTCTCCTTTAAATTCTGATTTACCTCATACAGTTCTGGAAGCTATTGGGGGATCTTAGACTTACTTTGTGAATCACATACAATATGAACTCCATAAGCCTTAAGATTGAGTGAGTGCAATCTATACTTGTTTCTAGAAACTTCTGTGTAGTCTGATCTCTTGGTAGTGGGGTTTTGCTGATTCCCTAGCTTGTTTTCTTTATTGAACTCATCTCAGTGTGAAATGGAAAAGCTTTGTCATAGGGACCAGTTTGATCCTGGCCATTTAGTGCAATCAAGTTAATTAATTACATTAATTTTCTGTGGATAAGCTTACTTGACATTAAAGGGACTAGTAAATTAAAAGAATATTGTTTAAGAGAAATGAAAAAATAAGTCTTCCTTAGCTCTTGCGACAAATTTAAGTAAGTTGTAAGCTTTATGTCTAAAGTCTGGTTTCATAATTTTTATTTTGTTATACTTAACAAGGGTTTTAAAATGAAGTTTGGTGTTCTTTTTCTTTCCAGTCGGTCCCGAAGAAAGATGCAGACAGTGTCCAATATTTCCATCACAGGAATGCTTGTCATGTATCTGCTTGCTGCTCTTTTTGGCTACCTAACTTTCTATGGTAGGTCACACTGTCCCAGGCATTATCTTTGTGCTTAATCTGGTAATTCACCTGGATACATAAAATTCTTTTTCATTCCTTCTGTGAGTAGCGTGATGCTCTATTTAGCCTTGCCACTTTCCAATGGAAACCAGCTGTGGATTCACTTGTCTATAGATTCCAGCAATTGGTGAAGTCATGTGTGATATTTTTTTTAACCTCTCAAATTGCAGCTAGGATGATGACTCAGTAGGTAAAGTACTTGACATCCAAGTGTGAGAACCCAAGTTTGGATTCCCCGATGCCCATATACAAATCCAGGCATGGTAGTATTTTATTGCAACCCCAGCACTGGAGACAGGAAAATGCCAGAGACTCATAAGCTAACAAAATCTGTGATCTATGAAAGACCCTGCCTCAAAAACTAAGGTAGAAAGCAACTGAGGAAGATCCCCAACATCAACCTCTGCATGTGCATGTGCACGCACATGTATGTTCACCTTCACGCACACGCATCATACATCCCTCAAATAAGTTAATTTCCTTCACACATAAGTGATGTTTGCCTAGTTTCCCAGTGCAGCTCAGGCTAGAAACAATGAGAATGAATCCAAATATATACAGAGAAATTCTTTCCACGGAAAAGTGGCTGCCAAACAATTGACAAAACCCCATAGTCCTCAAGTTTGACCCTGCTACTTCTTTACAAGTCAGTTAAAGCTGGCATCTTAGAGCATCAAGTAAAATGCCTGCTTTATTTCATTCAGTTCCGTTAGAGTAATAATTCCGAAGAAAAAAGATTCAGAAGAATTCCCTTCAATCTGGAACTATTCTAAATTGTGTGTGTGTGTGTGTGTGTGTGTGTGTGTGTGTGTGTGTGTGTGTGTGTGTAAGTGGCATTGCAACATTCACATTCCATCCAGCATCTTAACTGTACAAATAATGCTAACAAAGGGGTAAGTTAGCATTATTTACTCATACCAGAAAGTGTAGCCCAACAGAGAAATTATTGCAATCAGACATAACTGTGTTACCATATTTTCACACTAGACAAGGTGTCAATACAAATAGATATTTTTAATAACACCTTCAACTTTTTTGAGTTGTTAGTGTTTGTTGCAAGACATAGAACACTTTGGAAAACATTTTAGTAACATTTTAGTTATTTTAAAATAGAAAAAGAAATGTGCATAGAATACATACACATGGAATTTCAAAACTTGACTGCAATGTTGTAAGTAAAAATAGTTCTCCTGGAACCTCCAACCTTTTTTTTTTTTTTTTTTCTGATTTGGCAAATTAAACTGAGTGCATGGCAAATTAAACTGAATGCATGACAAATTGGGGAGGAAATGACTCAGGAGGAGGTCATCATTTGCTTAGGTGTCTTTTCCATTTGACTGATATTTGACTGTTAACCAAGCACTTGCTCTCAATTTGGCATTAGCTTCTCACCGGTTACAGGTTTGTGAAAATCAACATCAGTCCTACTGAGTGTATTTGTACCCCTTGTCACATCTTGAGAAAAATAGCGGGGAAACCAGGCTACATATGACTTCATATGCTTCTATGTGCACTTGTGTCTGGCATTGAGAATGGCTGTCTTCAAAGAAGGCATCAGATAAATCTTAGAATAAAATGACTGGGAGATCCACTAAGAACGTGCTTGTATCCTTCCATGCTTTTCTAGTGAATTTTGTTAAGACAACCTTTCAAAACCCCAAGAGGACCTGAGTTTGTATCGCCAACATGAAAAGCTGGCTATGGAGGCATGTGTTGGTAACCCCGAAGCTAGTGACCAAAGAGATATATCCCAGGGTCTTGCTGGCTGGCCAGTCTAGCCAAAATGGCAAGATCCAGGTTCAGTGAGACCCTGTCTCAAAAAGGAAGTCAAAGAAGTGATTGAGGAAAATGTTTCAACATCAACCTCTGCCCCCGACATGTGACCACACAAGTGAATGCACACATGTATACACACAGAGTTAGAGCTCATCAGTCCTGGAGTTCCCACATTGGGTGCAAAAAAGCTTCTTCACAGTTAGCTGGACTGACAGGTCAGAGGATGGAGATGGCGCAGAAGGCATGACAAGCTGGTAGGGCTTAGGCTTATCCTTCCTTTTAATGGAAGCACATCATCCTGGTTTGGGATGCTCTTTGTAGCAGCCATAGATTTATTATGATACAAATCATGTCAAAAAGGTTAGCATCCTTCATGCTCTAGCTTTGCAAGCTTCAGGACTGTCTGAATCCCCAGACCTGGGTCTCTTCCATTGTCCAGTTTCCTCCTCCATCATCACACGTTTCTGTGAGTAGCCGGTGCCGACTTATCAACCCAACTCTTCATCTTGCAGGGGAAGTTGAAGATGAGTTACTCCATGCTTACAGCAAAGTCTACACATTTGATACCCCTCTGCTCATGGTACGCGTGGCAGTCCTAGTGGCAGTGACACTAACTGTGCCCATTGTCCTCTTCCCAGTAAGTAACATCAAGTTCTAAAGAATTAGTACATTGTTCTGATTCAGTGTAAATTTGTGTATCTGTGTTTGCAGTTGTGTGTCCCAGACAATTATTATTTTCTCATAGAATTTGAGCCACTTAAAATTGACCACTTAATATAGACTCAGCAAGTGATGTTAGATAGTGTGAGAACTTTATTTTTTAAATTCAAATAAAAACTATAGACTAATAAAATTACAAGCAGTTCTTCTGCCTCTGAAAACTTGCATCTTGCAGGTTTGAAAGTGCTTCAGCTTGTTCGCAGTCTATTGTATGAGGTCAGGTTATTGAATCTGATGTTTTAATGGCTCATGGGAAGGACACTCATTAAGTAAATGACATACCAGAAAGGAGGAGGAGGTTTATTGTTTGGTTTGGAGTTTGAGGTTTTTTGTTTGGTTTTTCAAGACAGGATTTCTCTGTGTAATACCCTTGGCTGTCCTGGAACTAGCTCAGTTGAGCAGGCTGGCCTCAAACTCAGAGATCCTGTTGCCTCTGCCTCCCAAGTGCTGAGATTAAAGGTGTGTGCTACCCACCGTGTTTGATCCCTTCCACCAAAACTGGCACATACCTTCTGGAATTTGAGATACCTGCTCCTTGACACTAGCAGGGTCTCAGTTTGTTATGGACTCACAGCACTGGGCTGGGGGTGAGGACTGGGCTACAAATTAAAACACCACCTATGAACAAATACAGGTGCTCTCCCACTTGCCAACTCTGTCCCTTTTGCAAATACTCAGTTTATCCATCCACATCTTTGCTGTGGACAAAATGTTCCACACAAGACTTAGCATGAGAGAGCAACTTAAATAATGTGGTGTGGTCACTTTAAGTACGGCTTGTGTGCTGAACATATTTTGTCACATTCCTTTTTCATGAGTGCATGAAATCAAATCCTCATTGCTGTTGTAGCTAATACTTCCCTCTTAAATAACGCCTGGCCTCTAACATATCCAAGAGCATTCTGAATGCTATACAAGGACCTTTAGCCTAAAATGAGCACAGGCTTGAGCAGAATGTTCTATAGGATGAAATTTCTAGTTACTCTGGGAAAAACTGGAGTCCTTGTGGCTTTTGGCATATCAGAAACACTTGCATTGTTGTTTAATTATTTTATGCAAGGAATCTGTTACAATCTTTTACTGTGGTATACTCCCAACCTTGATAAGGTGTTTTTAAACCATAGTCTCGAGAGGTTAAAGGATGTGGTGGTGGCAGTCACATGGCTAGTAGGTAACTGTTGAGCTAATGCAAGGCTCTCTGCTAGAATGGGAAGTAAAAACTAGCTTCAACAAATATTATGTCTCACCATTGACAATCAAAACCTCTCTTAGAAATCCTCGTCCTGTGTAAGAGCAATTGCCCTGGACTGAATCTGATCCATCAGGATCAAGATGGGCTATAAGAACCAACGTCCAGGAAAATAACCACTGTCTACCATTTCCTGTGCATGGCATGCATGACCTTTCACTGCCACAGTTACAGAAGAATAGTGGCTGGCAGAGAGGATGAGCAGCAGTGTTGAGTGAATCATGACTTTCCTGAAATGTATAAACTACCTTTTCAAGTTTATTCACGAAAGTAAGGATGTGGGCAATCAAATGGGGACGAATGTGATGGGGACAAGGAAGTGGCCAGTCATGTTCTAAACTGCCGAATTCTGATGTGATTTTGACTAAGTGTAGATAGTGTAGGTAGTATTTTTATTCACTTCTTGTAACACAGGGCAAGGGACTTCAGTGGATCAAGGGCAGGGCATGAATCTCCTGGAGGACATGGTTCTCCCCAACAGCTTTCTTTGCATTCACAAACACTTGAGGACTGGAGAGATGGCTCAGAGGTTAAGGGTACTGGTTGCTCTTCCAGAAGACCTGGGTTCAGTTCCCTGTAGTCAAATGGTGGCTCACAACCATCTGTAATGAGATCTGGTGCCCTCTTCTGGCCCACAGACAAACATGCAGGCAGAACACTGTATATATAAGTAAATAAATTTTTAAAAGAAGAAAGAAAGACACTTGACTGCCAAGAAACTTCTTTATATGCCGTAATATTCTCACATACAAGCAAACCTAGTCTGGGTTCAAATCTAGCAGTTTTATTTTGCATTCTTCTTCTTGCAGGACTTGATAACCTGGCTCTTTCTTAGATGAGAGGATAAGAGTTGCATGCTCAGTTTTCTCTTATCCTCTCTGTCATCTCCTTAGGTTGGTTTTTTCCTTAGTACTAGCGTGATGTCTGTCGGACAGATGCAGAAATGAAGTGAATCGAGGCTAGCTCTCCATTACCATTAATCTCCTTAGGTATACAGTAGGTGGTCCACTATAGGATGTACCTCCTTCCAGAGGATGGATAGTGACATTTGCAAGTGTGCTTTCCCTTTACACAACAAGGTTCATGTGTCACCACCAAGGACAGAAAGAAAAGCAAGTAACCTTTATGATTTCTCCTAAGTGAACACACTCATTCTCTACCTGTAGTATTTATGAGAACCACTATAATGTGTACACACACACACACACACACACACACACACACACACACACACAATTTATTAAAGGATGCTATGGGGAAAACAGACTCATGGATACAGAATAAAGTATAACCAGTTGGAAAGTCCTTCTGCCCAAGGGAGATGGGAACCAACCACATGATGCTGCACACCACCTGACCTGGTGCTCTCAACCTAATAGAGAGTGTTACCTCTGTTTCTCTCCTTTTAAAAGGTCACATCTGCAGACAAAAAGCCATACCCTAAGGCTGGTACCCCAAAGCTATTGGCAGAATGAATTCCCCAACAGCAGGACTTTCCAGCCCCTGCTATTTTATCTTCTGACAGAAAAATCATCCCTTTTACATGTAGTTTCCACAGGTCCTCTGTTCTGAAGCTTGCATATACTGTAGGAATACTTCACATTCTTCCCATGGAAACTTCCTAATATTATATTCTGCATCAGGAGCCCTCGCTGGTGCTGGGAACTTCCTAAATCAGTAGATAAAGGGCACACAGATAAGTGGAAGAGCACTGGAGCTTTGTAGGTAATAAGGCTGAGTTGCCGCTTGTCCTGGCATGGGTAAACAGCTGCCCTGGCCTTTTTGGGATGCAGTCTCGAGAGGTGTAACACTGAGTAACCCGTTTTCTTCCAAGGGCACTATCAGCCTGCCTCCTTGGCATTGTTGTCCTCTTCTAGGGGTGGGGGGTATTGACACTCCATGTTCCTTCAGTCCTGTGAGGGATTTTCTTCAGCACACTCACCATGAGAACAAAACTTTTGCATTCACTCCAACCACCTGCATTTATTCCTGCACATTGTCTGTCCTCTCTTTCGGTAGGCCGTATCTTCATCTGCCATATGACCTTAGGAAACTGTGTGTCTCAGAGGCCCTGAACATACAGGGTTGCCCTTGACTTAGCTTTTTATTTGTTTTAACCTGAGTGCTGCTTTCATAACTACAGCAAAGCATGTAAGCATGGCACCTTCATGGAACATGTATCTGTATTCAGCTTGCTTTTTTGTAAGTTTCCCAGTCAATCATAACCTTGAGCAACACACACCACTGTAGAAAACTTACTGCAAGTCCACGAATGCCTGCCTCTGTGTACAATATGGGACAGGCATTCATCACAGGTCATAATGTCCCAGTTCCTGGGAAAGTGGCATCAGCCTGCTTGCCTTCCTTGAAGTGCATTTCACAGCAAGCTTCATATTTTTCACTAATCCAATTTTTTAAAATCTTTCACAAAGTCACTCTTAAACCATTTGTGGGACTGTGCAGTTTGCCATTCTAGACCTACACAGATGGCTTTCATTTCCCACGAATGGTATGAAAGGAATGCCACAGGAGAAACTGCAGGCAATTTGCTTGTTTTTTTTTTTTTTTTTTTTTTTTTCAGGTTGTCTGTACATGTTTCAAACTGGAGCTCACATTTGCTGTTTCTGCAATGAGTTCCAAAGACTGAAATTTTTAAGTGAAAATTGACCCCATCACTTCTGACCATGGGAAGCCCCAAATTAACTGAAGGGCTTACTCACTGAAAGGCCATTAGAGTAATCTTACTAAGTCCAAAGAGTGTCCTCATAAGAAATTCCAAAAGTGAGCATGTTTCTGTGTTGGGCCATCCAAACCCAAATGCTCGCTGTCCCTCTCTCATGGTGACCTCTTTGTCTGACACCATGGTTACTTGAGCTCTCTTGAGCCTTGGCTGGTGCACTTTTTCAGCTGCTGGAATCTGTCGAGACCCCGAAGGGAGTGGGAACATTCCTGCTGTCAGTTTAATTCAGCATTCATTGTATGCCTGCTACGTGTAAATGGCCATGCAGGATCTCTGAGGAATGTTGGGGTTATTGATTTGCACTGTTTGCCTTTTGTGGATCTGTAATCTATTAATTAGGGATGGGGAGTGGGGAAGGAGGAAGTGCAAAAAGTATCACTTCTTTTTTTAATACCAGTGGGAAACGTTGAATGAGATGGGAAATTAAGAGAAAGATGTGTTTGCAGAAATTGCCTTACAGTCTGTTAAGTTATCTCAGTGTCTGTGTTCAAAGCCTAGGCTGGTCAAATGAGAACAAGACATGGTTAGCCATCAACAAGGGCTTCCCTGCCTCCAACCTGTATGGGGCTGTCATTTCATCTTTCTGCCCAAGATTATTTTTGAACAAATATTTTAAGATCCAAGAAAGTGGATGCATGATATGCAACCAAGGAAAGATCTCATTCTCAGACATCACAAATCAGAGTGAAGTTGACAGAGCAACACACATAGACTTAATTCCACTGAACTGTGCAAACTTAAAGCACTTAAGATGGTAAATGCTACTCTGTGTGTTTCAACACAATGAAATGTGAGAATAAACATCAAAAGTTTTTTTTCGGGGGGCAGTTAAAACAAAACACTTTAGAATACTTATAACAAAGATTAAAAAGACCCTGGCGGTGGTAGTACTTGCCTTTAATCTCAACACTTGAGAAGCAGAGGCATGTGGATCTCAGGGAGCTCAAGACCAGCCTGGTCTACAGAATGAGTTCCAGAACAGCCAGACCTACACAGAGAAACCGTGTCTCAAGAAACAAAAAACAAAAAGTTAAATGCTCATACCTTTGAACATCCTTGTTGCAGATTCGGACCTCAGTGATCACGCTGCTGTTTCCCAAAAGACCCTTCAGCTGGGTAAAGCACTTCCTGATCGCTGCCGTGATCATTGCACTCAACAATGTCCTGGTCATCCTTGTACCCACCATCAAATACATCTTTGGATTCATAGGTAAGATTCAGAAAGACTTCTTCTGTATCCATTCACTTATGGTCTCACATTTGAGGTGTCACATTTGAGGTGTCAAATGGCAGATATGAAAGCAGTGCTGTGTGGGCAGGGATCCTTCCTTGTCCTTCTCAGGCTAATAAGAATCCCATGAGCCCCTGCTTGGGTTCAGTGACTGCTCTTGCTGTGTTCTCTGCCTCTCACCTGATGCTGGCATTCAGGTATAGCAAGTGCTCTTTCAACAGGTGAGGAACAGTCTTAGAGAAATCAAATCACATACCTTTTGGTGGACACAGGATTGGACATGGGTGGTAGCTCTGTCTTCAAGGGGAGAGTAAGGATTGGTTACCATAAGTCTGTGAGTGCCAGCTGGGGTGTTGAAGATGTATTTATAGAGGCATAGAGGCCCCAAACATCTCATTTCCTTTAACCACATGGTCTGCTGGTGTGTTGAAGTTCTCCATCCATGCAAAGGGTTTACTAGATTTTCAGGGCTGAATGGATGTTTTGCTTGTTTTTTTTTTTGTTTGTTTGTTTGTTTGTTTTGTTTTGAGACAGGGTTTCTCTGTGTAACACTGGCCGTCCTGGAACTCACTCTGTAGACGAGGCTGGTCTCGAACTCACAGAGATCTGCCTCCAGGGTGTTAGGATTAAAGGTGTGCACCACACCACCTGAGTAGAATGACTTTTTAATAGAATCAGGTGTGGACAGGAAGCTTGAGTGTTATGTTCAGCTGTCTGAGTGTGAGGTTATCTAAGTCTTTGTCAACTTTTATTGTTTGGCCTTATACTGTTTATTATAGTTACATTTAACATGGCTAAAACATGAGGCATATTTTAATATTCTTTAGAGAGAAACATTCTAGAAATATGTAAGCAAGATGAATGACTTAAATGTTCTTGTAGTGCTGAGAAAAACAAAATAGCATTCTATTTGTTTGTCCTGAAGCATGTGCTTGCAGATACCCGCTTTTCTGAGGCAACCAGCTATGTGAAACATTAACTGCCCTGCATCTCTTTCCTCAGGGGCTTCATCTGCCACCATGCTGATTTTCATCCTTCCAGCAGCCTTTTATCTCAAACTTGTCAAGAAGGAACCTCTTAGGTCACCCCAAAAGGTTGGGGTGAGTAAGACTTGTAATGAATGTCCCCTACTGTAAGTAGCTCAGCAACTTAGAGGGAGTCAGAAGGCACACATGGTTTAGAAAAATGAAACAAGCAAGACCCACAGGCTGAAAATGGGCAGACAACAATTGGAGAGGACAGGATTTCTGACTCTCAGAGGATTCTTGTATTTCAAGTAGCAAATATCTAAATATTCTGAAATGTTCTGTTGAGTTCTATGTGGCAAGTGCTGCCTTACTGTATTTCCCTTGGTGCCAGACTGGATATGATGTGACATTAGAGGAAGGTAATGGGCTCCCTCCCAGTGTGGGCAATGGTGCAATTTAGTCCCGTTTTTCTAGATTCACAAGGGCAAAGTAGGCTTTTGTTTCCCTTCTATCAAACCCTGTATGTTCTATAAAAAGTCGAATTGATCATTTTTCAATTAATCTTTTATGGTATAAAATATCATCTTATTAAAGTATAGCATGTACATTTCCTTCCCATAACAAACACTAAAGAGACATACATCGCAAAAGATCTCTTACCTATAATTAAGTACTGGTGAGCAGCTAAAAGGGTCTTCTGCTAAGGCTCGGAAAGAATGCTTCTAATCCAAGTCTTGAAGTCTCTCACCTCTTGGGGTGCCCAGGAATGGAAGGACAGCTTGATAGCACAAGCCCCTCCTGTCATCTTTCCCCCAAATTTGGACTCTGTGTACTCCCTCTTGCTTGGGTGTCTATAGCAGTGTGTCCTGGGGAAAGTACTCATCTTGGCCAGATATAAAGTGGGCAAAATCGTCTCTTAGGCCCCTGCTAATGACAGTTTTTATCTGCTGCTCTCCAATGGGAAAATTAGAAGACTGATCTGTGTGGAATATTTAAGGACTCTTCCAGTTAAGATTTTGAATTACAGATGTTCTCAATATTCCTACTTAAACTTTTGTCTTTCTTCAGAAATATTCAGCATACACGAGGCTTTTTTTCCCTTTATTCATGGATTTATCAGTTGTATCATGCATGCTACTTCCACTGTGTCTGACTCTTTCCACCCAAGAGGTTATGAGTATTTCCTACACCACTAATTTTTGGTAGTCTCCGTATTTTCATGTACCAAATCAACCAACTATTACTCTCTTCTTGACCCTGACGCTATGTGTTTTCACTATGCTTTCACTCCTTTCCAAACAACAGTCCTAAGTTGACCTGACATTTGTCAGTAAGAATATACAAGGTGCATTACCACCCCGTGACAATGTCCTCAAGCAAACTGTGTGGTTCCCAGTCTCTGTTCCCTAATGTGCTCCTTCTGAATCACAGGCATTGGTCTTCCTTGTGACTGGAATCATCTTCATGATGGGAAGCATGGCGCTCATTATAATCGACTGGATTTACAACCCTCCAAATCCCAAGCACCACTAACCTGAGGGAAAGCTTTCCATTGGAAATGGCTGAAATTATGCTTCAGAGGACTTTTATCTTCCTTGATTGGGATGGCCTTCATAGGAAATAACGAGAAGATTCCAGAGACAATTCCTAGTTCCATTGCCTGACACCTGTGGAAGAGAAAATTATGGGTTTGGTCGGGAATGGTGAATGATGCATTAAAAATCTGTGGCGCACATTTCAAACCAGGCGTGTTTTGCAGTTGTGCAAGCAGAATCTCATTGGCTGCATGTCTTGGTCAGCAGAAAATATATAGTGCCCCTGTTGTTTACTCTCTACACTTCACCACCCCAGATTAACAAACCAGTGTGTTCTCAGAACATCAAGCAAAAATGCTCCAGTGGTAAAGCCATTGTCACTTATGGCCATCTCCCATCCTGCAGCAACACTAAGGGTCTACTGACTGAGGCAGGCATGTATCATGGGAATTATTCCTGTAAGATACATGAATGACAGATACTAGTCTAGAGTACTTCATTTCAATACTAAAAGTGTAGTCTGCTCAACTTGCTTATTACACTGAATTAGTGTCAATTTTTTTTATGGTAAATGCTAAAACATCTCACTAAACAGGGGTGGTATGGTATTTAATTATCAAGAAACAACAACAGAATAATGCTTTTAGCTAAACTGCCTAATGAGACAGCGCCTGTTTTTCCATGTTGTTCCTGGCATTTTTGTCACACGTTTGTCTTTGAACAAGGCTTTCCCCTCTTGTCTTCCATTCTCATGGATAATTTTCAGAAGACCATAATTCATGTGGAGACACTACCCAGTATTGTTTGGCACAATTTTATTTGATTAAACCTTCAGTGTAAGAAACTGTGATTGTGCTATATATTTGTGTATATAATTTCATTCTGTAGTTGCCAGAATGTTGACATATGGTACATTGGATTTTCATTTTATACATATGTAGTTTTCTTCCTTCACAGTCAAAACATTTATATTATCAGGTTGGGACACGGAATTAAGCTGGTGGGCTCAAAAATCCATGTGTATGTATGTATCTGTCCACTGGAGACATCTAAAAATTAAACCCAAAGTTGTACATAGTTCAGATATGCTCTTCACTGTTTACAACACTGTAATCATCTATAGGAAGGTAGCAAAAAGAGGGGCTCCCCATTTGTAAATAATTTTCAATACTAGCACCGACCTTTGAGTTTAGCATGTCTAGAATGGACTCTGCTACTTTTAGCTCGCATGGGAATTTGCTGACATCCATCTGTCATTAATGTCAAGTGGTTAGAAATAACTCACAAACATGACAATGAAACACAGTGTACCATTCCTGTTCACATTCATAGATACTTACATGGGATGAAGTTCAGCTGCTACTCACTGCCTAGAATGTTCAGCATTCACTACTATTTTTTTTTTTCAATTATTTGTTGTGTACTCTACATTTCAGTATAACTAAGTATGAAATAATGTATCATGCAGATAATAAGTATGAAATAATGTATCATGCAGATAATGACCATATTGTCATACTACAACAGTTTTTCTGAGGTGTGCCTAAAAGTATATATTGGTTTTATGTATCATTATGGTATGCCTTGTGATAGAAATTGAGCATTACTAGAAATTATCATAACTTTTTAGTTATTATGATTTGCAAGAAAAAAAAATCACCAACAGCATCTTTAAGATGCCTTTCCATTTTCATTCACCCAACAAATACACCAAGATAGAAAGTGGAAAAGGGATGTTGCAAATACTAAATATGTTTAGTCTGAACATATTTCAATGTAAATATAAAAGATTAATCCAAAACTATTGGAAAACTGTAAAATCTGTACATATTTGAGTATTTTACATTGAATGACTAACTTGAAAGTATCCACATTTGTAATTATACAAATAGTCAATAGCAATAGAACAGTGCCAAAGACGACACATCGCACCGTTCTTTCGCGTGGCCATTTTCAGGGTTAGGGTTTGCACAAGCTGCAGGGCAGATTTGCAGAGTACCTTGTTCTGGCAAATTTAACCCATTTGTAAACAGATACAAATTTTATTTTCTTATATCATTTATAAGGTGGTTCAATGTAATGGGAAGATTTTTTTTTATTATAGAGACTGTATATTGGTATATAATAAATGAACTTTTCAAATGACCTGGCTGTGATTTTCCTTCTCAATAAAGAAGGCTGTGGGTTATTTGTGCATGAAGTGAAACTGAAAAAGTCCAAATATCACCCAAATAAACTCATGCATGTTCAGTGTGCAGATGCAGAAGTGTAAGTCCTTTATCCCATGAAGACACATGTCAGTGCCTTCATCTCACATATATATACATACTATTGCTGTTGAGACAAATTAGCACACATTTAGTGGCGTGAACCCAGAAAATTTAAAGCCAGGTGTGGGGTTGTGTGCCTGTCTGTCATCACTCACTGAGAAGCAGAATTGTTGATGTGAGGCCAACCTGGGCTACACAGTAAGACATGATCTCAAGAGATTCAGGGGATAGCAATAACATTTTATGGTTGTGGAAGTCAGCAGTCCTAAAATCAAGGACCGGTGGCTCAGCCTCTCGAAGTTCTAGGGTTGGATCTAATCTATTCTCTTGCCTTTTCCAACTTCTAGAAGCCACCTATTCCTTGACTCCTTACCTCTTCTTTCATCTTCAAAGTTCACAACACATGCTCTTCCAGTTCAGCTATCCCCCCAACTCCCCTGTATTCCCTTTAAGGATTTTTGTAGCTGCATGGAGTCCATCACATAATAAATATACTATCCCTTCATAAATATCTCACATTGTGAAGTTCCCTTGCCTAAACTGCAAGGGTTAAGACATGAACTTTGGGGGTGGGAGGAGTCATTCTTCCTACCACCACCCCACATACATCTCCCAGCCTATACCACAGACCATACTTATGTTTACTTGTGTGCCTGATGTGTATACGGTTACTCCAGACACTGCAGATGGCTTTGAAGGATATAAACGGAGGTGAAAGATACATATTTACCTAGCTACTGGCTGGAGAATGGAATGGAATAAATAAAGAAATTATAGGCCTGTTGTGGGCCACTGAGAACAGTGATCTTGGTTAAGAGTCTTGCAGATACATATTTCTCTGGTCTGTTTCTTTACACTGGAATAATCATTTTTAAAAATTTTCACTAAAAGAAAATCAGAGGAAGGAATGTAGGATGACTAATATAGTGGCATATATTGATATATATGATTCTTGCACAACTTAGAGCTCAGAGGCACTTGAGGTGCTCGCCTACATCCTTAGAGTTCTCCAAATGTCAGTCTGATATTAGAAGAGATAGTAGCAGCATGAAGGGACATCCCAGGGAGAAGATCCCAGGGAGAGCAGTGGCCTTTTCACTAAATACTTCTGCATCAAGACACACTTATGGCAGAAAGATAATTCTGTGGAAAATATAAACATCTATGATTTTTAAGCAGAAATTAGACACTGACCCATAAGAGAGTTCTATTTTACATATGAAAATAAGAATACTTTAACCAATGTTATTTATATTTTCATGTGAACAATGTTATACATTATATTTTGTTATAAAATGTTACATATTTTCCTTTTACATATACATAGGAGTTTTAAATTAAAACCTTTGTCTCAAATTCTAAAAGTCCTCTTTTCAGTAGATTTTTTTAAAATTCCAAATCTAAAGAACATTGCTGTAGCACAAGTTCTAATAGGTCTTAATAATAAAGCCTGAACTTAGTTATAGGGGAAAATACTGAAAGATCAGAGAGAGAAGGAGCAAGCCACAGCCATACCCTGCCTTCATAACTTCCCATCTCCCTTCCTGTCTGTCTGTACAGACCTCCAGACCTCTATGGTTAACTAGTGGCTAGCCCTGCCCTCTAATCTTTAGGGCATGCTTTATCTGTTAGAGTATAAACAATATATCACTACACATTGTAGCCTAGTGTGAGAAGATGTCTCTATTCTCCCACAAGCAACCAGAGAAATTAGCTCCTCTAGGCTGGAGCTTCTTCCACTAAGCCTCTGGGACTAAGCCTCAGTTACTACAAACTTCTCAGAGACTTAGTGCCTGCTCAAGACACTTAGATCTACTCAGAGACACTGAGGTATCTGGGGTCTATTTGCTGTGGGATCCCGTCACACTGAGATCCCAGATAGCAAAATCTCTGTATTCTTTCCAAGCTGTAGACACCCTTCACCAGCAGAGACACCCACAACCTGGCTTGGGGAAACATTTCTATGTCCCAAGCATCATTGGCAAGAATCAGTAGGCAGAAGAGAATCGTGAAAACCAAGCAAAACAAATATAACAAAGATTCTTACAAATAAACTGTAATTAGTACTACTGTTAAAAGATAGGCCAAAAAACAGAATGTCCAGACTGTAAGTGAAAATCACCTATCACACCTAAAGCCAATAAAACTACAACTTGAATGAAAAAAAAAAAAAAAAGACAACTAATGCTAACATTACAATAAATCAAATGGCAAGGGCTTTGAAGATGCCCATCCTAAACATTCAATAGTGAATTACAAATTCTTTTTGAAAAACAAATTCCAACAAGGAAAGTGAGTCTTAAGAACCAAACAAATGTAAAATGTAGCACTGAAAAAACACAGGAGCAGAAAGTAAAACTTGTTGAATGTACTAATGGCAGGTGGAGACAAAGGAAGATAATCAATGAATTCGAGTGAATTTAGTGTCTGGAAGAGTAGGAAGAACGAAGGTAAAGACAAAGGATAAATCCCCTAAAGTATAATAAGGCTGTGCTGCTATATGACAAAATACAAAAATAGAATAGAAAAGCTAGGCAAACAATCAAGATGCTTACATCTGTATGCTAAACAACCGAATACAAGAGATGGAAGAGAGAATCTCAGGCATTGAAGATACACTAGGAAAAATAGATTCATTGACCAAAGAAAATCCTAATTCCAACAAACCCCTGACACAAAATATCCAGGAAATATGGGATACTGTGAAAAAGCCAAACCTAAGAATAATAGGTATAGAAGAAAGTGAAGAAACCCAACTCAAAGGGAAAAAAATATATTCAACAAAAATCATAGATGAAAACTTTCCCAACTTAATGAAAGTACAAGAAACTTACAGAACACCAAATAGAGTGGACCACAAAAAAAAAAAAGTCCCCTCAACACATTAACAATCAAAACACCAAACATACAAAGTAAAGAAAGAATATTAAGAGCAGCAAAGGAAAAAGGCCAAGTAACATATAAAGGCAAACCTATCAGAATTACACCTGACTTCTCCTTGGAAACTCTGAAGGGCAGAAGATCCTGGATAGATATTCTACCAACACTAAGAGACCACAGATGTCAGCCCAGACTACTATACCTAGCAAAGCTTTCAGTCATTATAGATGGCGAAAACAAGATATTCCATGAAACCAGATTTAAACAATACATGTCCACTAATCCAGCCCTACAGAAAGTTCTGGAAGGAAAACTCCAACCCAAGCAAGTCAACTACACCCATAAAAACATAGGCAATAGATAATCCCACTTTATCAACAGCCAAAAGAAAAATGGGGGGGGGATCAACACACAATACCAACAACAACAACAAATCCACAACAAATAAGAATTAACAATGGTCATTAATAACCTCCAATATTAATGGTCTTAACTTGCCTATAAAAAGACACAGGCTAACAGAATGAATACGAAGACAGAATCCATCTTTCTGCTACATACAAGAAACAAACCTCAACTCCAAAGACAGAAGTTGCCTCAGAGTTAAAGGTTGGGAAAAGATTTTCCAATCAAATGGGCCCAAGAAACAAGTGGGTGTAGCAATCCTAATATCTACCCAATTAGACTTTAAACAAAAATCAAAAGAGATGAAGAATGTCATTTCTTATTCATCACAGGAGAAATCCATCAAGATGAAGTCACAGTTTTGAACATCTATGCCCTAAATACAAAGGTACCCACATTAGTAAAAGAAACATTACTAAAACTCAAATTGTACATAAAACCTCACACACTTAGAGTGGGAGATTTCAACACCCCACTCTCAACCCTAGATAGTTCCTTTGTTAAGTTTCTGTCTGGTGGACCTAACAGAAGTTATGACTCAATTGGGTTTAACAGACATTTATAGAACATTCCATCCAAACATGTAAGAGTATACCTTTTTCTCGGCAGCACATGAAACCTTCTTTAAAATCAACCACATGCTTGGCAATATAGCAAACCTTAATAGGTACAAAAAAAAAAAAAAAAATTGGAATAGCCTCTGTATCTTATCAGACCACCATGCTTTAAAGTTAGAATTCAACAACACCACAAATTGCAGAAACCCTACAAACTCATGGAAATTGAACAATGTGCAATTGCACCATTCCTGGGTCAGGGAAGAAAGAAAGAAATTAAAGACTTCCCAGAATTCAATGAGAATGAAGACACAACATACCCAAATTTATGGGCCATGTTGAAAACAGTGCTAAGAGGAAAGTTCATAGCACTAACTGCCTATATGAAGAAACTGGAGAATGGTCACACCAGAGAATTAACAGCACAACTGAAAGCTCTAGAACAAACAGAAGAAACTCACCCAGGAGGAGTAGACACAAAGAAATAATCAAATTGAGGGATGAAATCAATAAAGTAGAAACGAGGAAAACAATACAAAGAAATAAATGTAACAGAGTTGGTTCTTCATGAAAAATCAACAAGATAAACAAACCTTTACCCAAACTAACCAAAAGACACAGAGAGAGAACATGCAAATTAACAAAATCAGAAATGAAAAGGGAGACATAACAATGGACACTGAGGAAATCCAGAGAATCTTCAGGTCATACTGTGTAAACCTGTACTCCACAAAATTCAAAAATTTAACAGAAATGGACAATTTTCTGGATAGATATCATTTACCAAAATTAAATCAAGGACAAATAAGCAACTTAAATAGACCTATAGCCTCTAATGAAATAGAAGCAGTCATCAAAAGTCTCCCAACCAAAAAAAGTCCATGGCCAGATGGCTTCAGTGCAGAATTATACCAGAAATTCAAAGAACAGCTAATATTCCTTAAAGTGTTCCACACAATAGAAGCAGAAGGGTCATTGCCAAATTCTTTTTACAAGGCTACAATTACTTTGGTACCCAAGCCACACAAAGACA